GAATAAATGTATGTCGAGTGGCACCAATGTGGTCCTTCAGTGGATTCCGAGCCATTGCGGTATTCCAGGAAATGAGGAAGCGGATAGTCTCACCAGGAGGGGAGCAGAATTGCCACAAACAGTCCATACAAAATCCTACGATTCAATTCGGCGAATGGTGAGGATGATAGTGAAGGAGGAAACAAAAAATATGCACAAAGACAAGGTGGAAGGGAAACGTTATGGATGTTTGATGGAAAACCCGATCCCAGCAGACCTACCAAGAAGAGATGCAGTAGCCTGCTTCCGCCTGGCCACTGGTCACGACTATCTACAAAGTCATCTCCACAAGATAGGCGTGGCTGAGGATCCTAGATGTAAATTATGTGAACAAACGGAAATGGATGCAGACCACCTAAACGAATGTCCTGCTTTGACGGATATAAAGAATCAAACATATGTAAATGATTACATACAAAAATCAAAATTATATTGGGCAGCAAGATGTCAGATGGTCGAATGACCAATGACTATGGCATAGGAAAAAAAACAAAAAACTTTTTAATGTTTATTTTATAATAATTTTATAAATTATCTAATTGATGTGTTTGTATCAAAACCCTTTAGATCTTCAAAAAATTCTATTTTCTATCAAAAGTGGTTCTATACAACCTTTTTTGATCAGTTCTGAAACATTTTTGAAAATTAATGTAATCGGTTTTCAATCAAAACGCCTCAAATAAACAATAATGAGTACAGCTGCCTATAGTGTAATGTAAGCTCTTATCACAATCGATACTCATCAACCTATATATGTTACACTTTCTATTTTATTTTATGATAAATATAATCGAGTAGTGGTCTGTTCACATATATGTGAGTTCTGGAAACATCTAATATATAAATTTATTATTATTTTTTTAAAGGGAGTAACTTTAAATCAAATAGGTTCAGTATTTAAATCGAGATTTTTTTTTATTTTTTATTTTCCTCTGCGGGAAGAGCAGGAGATTAATGTCAGAGTTTAAAGCCCCTACGGCACCAGGATAGGAACTCGTAATTATTATACCTTGTAAACATCTGTATATCATGTTCCCTGCACGACCACCCTGCCTCATATTTAAATTAAGTTGGAGTTTCAGAAGTGTATTTTGACACTAACCATTTTTCACTTTTTAAACACTTTGTGAATTTCTATGGTCCCTATAAATTAATGTAAGGAGTTAGAAATTTGTAAATTAAATTGATGTGAGAACATTTCCTCCTAAACTCTCAACTTTTTTCTTCCACTCCCCTCCACATCCCAACATTTCAATAAATTTAATTCGGAACCAAATAATAAAATGTTCAAAAACAAGTCATAAAAAAGATAATCAGCAGCTTAAATGATTTAAAAATTATATTTAAATTCCCAGGAAAATATTTATGCACCTATTTTTAAAACAAAAATAAAGGAAAATGTGACCTGAATGACACTGATCTGTTGTGCACTTCTATTTATTTTGTAAATGTTTTCATCTATTATATAAATTTTTGCCTAAGAGGTAGAATAGTTTTTAAATTGTGAAATAAGTTAAATTGCTCAATACAATCAACAAGAAATATAAGTAAATTGTTCAAAATAAGAATAGTTCTTCACAGAAGAAGCTTCGCATTCATGACTGAGGTTAAAACATTTAATGTGCTTAGAATCATAAGTTTCTACATAATATATATATATATATATATATATATATATATATATATATATATATATATATATATATATATATATATATATATATATATATTTTCATCATTAGGAATATTGAGTGACACATTCATTGACAATAAAAATAATGTTCCAAGTGAAATTCTTTAAATCTCAATAAAATATGTTCGTAAGACTGATATATCGGTCTATATCGGTATCTGCTCAAATTCGGAGGAGAGGAGGACAGACAAATAAAACAAAAAAGTAGTCAAAGTATATAGTAAATCAACCAATATAAAATAAGGTTATAAGGCTGATATATCAGCATATTGGCCTTTTTAATATCGTTATCAGCAGATTATCAGTATCGGCCAAAATTTCGATATCAATCGATTCTTACATGTAACTAATGTTATTTTTTCTCTTTTGTAAAAACATCAAAACATACTTTAGATCTTCTTTAGCAACTTTGAATTAATTCTAACCATTTAAATATCTGAAGGATAAAAACAACATAATGATGAACTTAAAGAACTGTATTTTAAACAATGATGGTAATTATAAATGAAATAAAAATCCCCAAAATGATCAGTTAATGTAAAAAAAAAAATATAATCCATAAAACTACTATTAAAAAACATATTCATGAATTTCAAAGGTATTCATCACCATTAAATATATGATGGACAAATGTTTACAATCTTAAGTTTTTTATGTATAAGTTAACTTATGTTTTAATGTTTTTTTAAAGGAGTTGGTCAGGAGTGCGGTCAAATTAAATACTATATATCATAACAGTAATTTTTCGGTTATGCCAACATTTTGATGCTCTTTGTAGGACTTTATCAGGGCTACAAAAGAAACAAATCATAAAAGGTACAAAGTAAAAATAAAATAAATGAATTATTAATAGATATTAAACAAGTAACAGTTGTCTGATAAGGAAATTAAAGAACTTATAAGATGATATCAATGATGTAGTGGGTTATAGTATAGTTAAAATATAAAGTATTATATATATATATATGTGTGTGTGTGTGTGTGTGTGTGTGTGTGTGTGTGTGACCTTGAATATTTTAGTTATCAAATTATTTGCATTCCACAAACAAAAATGATACCCCCATCTGACTTTGTTTACCTACCTTTGCTATCTTAAAAGCACATCTGGAAAATCATCCACTGCCAAAATCATCCAAAACAAAATTGTATTTTTCTCACAGATCTCTGTCAAAGGAGTTGATCCGTATTTATAAGTGAAAAATTTCATGTTTCTAAACCTAAGATTTACGTTTTTATGAAAATAATTGAAGCAATCAGCAGGGTTATTTTCTTTTAAATGTAAATTTTAGGACTAGAAACATTAAATTTGTCACTTATAAATACGGACCTATTCCTATGACAAAGATCATCCAAAACAAAATTGTATTTATTTCACAGATCTCTGTCAAAGGAGTTGATCCGTATTTATAAGTGAAAAATTTCATGTTTCTAGACCTAAGATTTACGTTTTTATGAAAATAATTGAAGCAATCAGCAGGGTTATTTTCTTTTAAATGTAAATTATAGGACTAGAAACATTAAATTTGTCACTTATAAATACGGACCTATTCCTATGACAAAGATCTGAGAGAAAAACGCAGTTTCGTAAATACTTTACATGAAATATATTTAAAAAATCATTATTACTTTATTTATTTATAAATAAAGAGTGTATTTAGGCAATTATATTTATTAAAATAAATCTCAGATCATGAAAAAACAATAAATAAAAGCTTTGCAATAGTTAATTGTAACCATATTTAGTGAAAACACGAGCACTATTAGGTGACTGAATAGTTGACATCATTTCTTTACACAACTTAAGGTGATTCTCAAGAATTTGCCTAATAATAATCGTGTCAGAGGTCTGTATGACCGAATCACATAGAACTTTCTCCAAGGCTAGGTTAAACAACAGGCAGGTGAGGCCATGAACTTTTTTGTAGGCGTTGAGGTCTGCTATCACTCCTATAAAAATTTTCCTCTAGCTACAGGACACCCTGTATATGCAGGGTGTCCCGTAAGAAGAGGGAAATATTTGAAAGGTTGATAGTAGACATCAAGATATACAAAAATGTATATGTAAACAATCGCCCAATTTTCAGCAGTAAAGTAGGAAATTCAAGATTCGTGTTTTTTTAAGCGAGTCATATTTTTTAATGGATCAGGAAGGGATAACTTAAAAAATAATTTATTAAAGTAATTACACATTACTCCATAGTAAACTAGAAAAAATTTACTAAAAGAAGACTAATGAGCGAACAAACTCAGCTAAGTTCCACTTAAAAAAAAGACATAAATTACTTGTGATTTTATTGATCATCCTTTAACTTTACTACAATAACCCCACTTTAGAAAAACTTCCTCGTTTAATAAGCTTCAAGTCCATATTAATTAAGTTGAGATTTAATAGGGAAAATTTTGAGATTCACTGTAAGTTGTGTAAAGAAATTATGTGCTTTCCTATTCAGTTACCTAAAATTACCCGCGTCTTCAGCAAGAATAACAACAATTAACTGTTGCAAAGCTTTTATTTATTTTTTCCCCGTGATAAGGGGTGTATTGTTATAATAATAATTGTGTAAAAACACATTTTATTAATAAAAATTAAAAATAATGGTTTATATATATAAATCATGGTTTATATATATAAATATATATAAATCATTGTTTTTATATTTTTTATATTTACAGGTGTTTCAGGGTTAAGTGTCCAAACTGAAAATATGAATTAAGGACCTCAAAACAAGGAAAAAAATTCCTATGAAGGTATATCCGCAAACACTTTGTTTAGAAGATATTAACACCTAATGATTTTCATTGTTGTGAATTATTTATGTTTAATTAAACGTTTATTAAGTAAATAAAACTTATTTATTTGTAACTACTATATTAATTAAATGTAAACATTAAATTCATATTAAATGTTGTTCAAAGTGATTTCTTTGAGCATTAAAACAGGCTCAACGGAAAAGAAAAACACTTATAGTGGATCCCACGATCAGATTTGAAACCAACAATCAGGATACTACTAATAATTCATTTATTTTATTTTTACTTTGTACCTTTTATATTTTATATCTTTTATAGCCATGATGAAGACCTACTAAGTGGGTCAAAACGTCGACATGACCAATAAAATGCTATTATAATACATAGTATCTAATTTGATCACACCCCTGACCCCTGACCTCCTTGACCCTTCTAAACTTCTTCTATAATTATAATCACAACCATCTCCACACTATTAAAATAATATATAATAAATGGTAATTATATTTTATACAACCTGTGGCTTGCTGTAAAGAACCCGGGCAAGTGTTATGTCTGAATGAAGACCACACAGGAAACAGTAAATTGAGCTACCTTCTTGTTGGGCTGGCGTCAACACTGAGGAACCATTACAAGAATTAGGCAGTTCATACCTGGATAAAAAAAAATTAATAATAAAAATAGACAGTGATAATTAAATGATGAAATATGTACCAATTATATGCATAGCAAACGAAATAATAAGATAAAAAATTCATAACTCCTATTTCCACATTACTACAACCATTGGAAAGCTGAATTATTGCTCTTCTAAACCATTAAAAACTTATTCCTTATCCTTTATAAGGAATAAATAAAAAAAATTCAAAAATATTTATTTTATATTTCCAGTAGTAATTTATTTATGAGAATCAGGTTTGTGCCATTCTTTGCAGTTTATAAGGTCCTAAATTCCTGCTAATTTTGTATGGATAGGTTGCATGCTGAAAAATCACTAAAAAATCAATTTTTGAAAAATAAATGGAAGCCTCTACTCTTGGTAAGAAGTTTGAACAATTTTTTTAATTTTTAGATCGTTATGAACATTTATATTTGATAGTTTTCCATATTCAGAGGAGGAACCAGGTATGACCCCTCCAACTCCGATGTCTTTGTCACAGACACTTGGTTTTATTAGTATTTAGGATAATATTAATTAAGATAAAACTTAATTTTAGCACTATACAATTGTCTATAATAACTATTATATTGATATATTTAGCGAGAAGCGCACAATTGAGGTCTTGACTGAACGAGTTATTATCTAAGACTGATATAGATGGCAAAATACCTCATTTTAGTTATTAAAAAAAAAAAATTATTAAGGTTTGCAGATACCGGCACGGCTAAACATTTTATAAATCCTAAAAATGACCCAAAAGATACGGGAAATAATTAAAGGAAATTTTATAATTTGTACACCAACAGGTAAAGAAAATGGATATTCAGCAATATATTTTGACTTAGAACATTATTTAAGTATTAAGAAGAAAATTATGTTTTTAGTGTTTCCTTTTAGTAAAAAGTATGATATATTATTAGGATTTAGCACTGTGTATACGTTGCAATTTAATATTAACTGTCATAAAAAATTAGTTAAGTATAATGAAATTCATCATAAGGAGGTTGAATAAATCACTTCATAGGAAACCCATTGCACCTAGAGTCATTGGAAATGGAAAACACCTATCAGATGATGAAATATCTCAGTTGATCAGAAGTGATCACATGAAAAATGATGATAAAAAAATGAAAATGATAATTTATCGAGCACTAATTTGTTAAAATAAAAAATTAATAAAAAAATGAGAAGCCAATATACACTCCCCGTCAAAAGTATTGCAACACCCATAATTCTTGAGTTTTTCTTGGTTTTGATCTTAATCCTCTGCCACCTACATACTTAGGAAAGTGTCCCATATTATGTTTTAATTCACTATCACTAACATTCATATTTTCTAAATATTTACATATTTGCTTTTCTTCATTTTTTATTATTTGTTTTAATTATTTTCATATCCATTTGCATTTTTTAAATATTGATACATTAGCTAGCATTTAAAAAAAAAAAATCCAGGCTCTGATTATAATTTGAAATGTTATGTTAAAATTACATTTACATGACGTAAAACTTGATAATTCTGTTTAATGCCCATCATTAAAGAAGGAATATTTTACACAAATTAAGGTTATTTCTAATATTCTTAATTTGGAATGTTTGGAAAAATGATATTAGATGCATGTTTTGACAAAAGTATATATGTATGATAACTAACCTCCTTGACTCTAATGGAGCTCTCTCAGCCTCCATGGCATCCCACTGAACTGCCAAATGCATCACACAGCCCCTGCAAACTAGAACTCTCCCACAGCTGTCAGATTGAGATCCCTCTAAACCATTCTATATACATGAAAATAACAGGATTAAATTAATAATGATAGATATGTAAAAATAATTTAATCAATATTATAAAGAAATGCTGACAAGATTAAAAAAGAAAATCATCTTTCGAGAACTTAAAACCGTTATCTATTTAATCAATAATAGATATGTTTAAGTGGTCAATCTAAAATAAAGTTATAAATATTATATGATATGAAACTCAAATTCAAACAAATATTCCAAATATGTTTGTTCATCGAGAATTTGAAATTTCGATTGACATAACTATTTAGATGAAACTCACAAAGGGAGGTCAATCAGTGTTCACTGATTTCATTGAAATTGGTTTTTTTTTTTTGTTTTTTTGGTAATTCTATATAAAAAATAATGGATACAAGTCCAGGTGGTTTTTTCTAATACGTCTTAGGACCTGAGAAAAAAAATTATTTTATGTAATTTAAATGCCTTTTTTTATTTCCTCTCTCCCCCCTTGTTTTGACAGCTTTTCTAGATTACTATTTTTTTTTTGTGCATAATAAGAAATAAAATACTGTGAACACAATTTTCAATACAGAAACGAATATCAACTTTGTTTCTCCTTAAAAAATAGATAAAAATATTTATCTCTACATTGCCATGTCAGTTGGTCCAATTTGTTTTAATAATATACTCATACTATAGCTTAAGAGTAATTATATGCCAAATCAGCCAGAGGCTGACATCTACCCCCATACATTTGAATGAAAATTTCGATATATTAAGTAAATACACAAATAAGAAAATATACCAAATTTTATCTAATTCTACCAAGTAGTTGTGGAATATTTGAAGTTCGTGACACTATTTGAGCTTGAAACTTACTTATATGTGTTTCGGCTTTCCAAAGTAAAATTGACATTTATTAAACTGGAGCTTTCAAAATGTATCAATTTCGCCTTCATTAGAAGCAGAATAGGATGGTACAGAGTGTATTAGTATTACAATATTCATCATTGATAAAATAATTCTTTAACACAAAAGTTAATATTTATTAAAGTTTTGATACAGACATAGAAAAATATCTGAAACTAAAATTTCCCTCTAAGAACCCTAGTATTTTTATAGATGAGATAGCCTGTGACCTCAAGTGACTCTGACTGTTTGGATAAATAGTACCTTGTAAACCTTTTCCTTTGTTTGACTTTTTCATTATTCCCACCCACCATGCCTAGTTCTCATGTATATAAGTTGACCTCTTTATAATAGATTCCACTCAAAACTGATTATTCTCCTTTCAGAAAACAGCATCTTTCCTTTCATTTCGTATCATGATGTCATCAAGATCTCTTATAATGTCCCACTTTCTGAGTTCATTCCTAAGCAAATTTCCTGCTGGAACCTCAACATAGTGACCTCTCAAAAACCTCTCCAAGTTCTTTTCTGGATTCAATATCCCAATCTTTAGAATCTATTTATTCCTCTTCCTTATTATTCTCGTGGAATATCATTGCTCCAATCTTCTCATATTCCTAAATCACAATCACCATGCACTCCTCAAGATATCTATTTTCAGACCAACCACTACTTCTTGGATCAATCAAATCAACCAATTTCTGGAAATCGGAGAGTTGATGAGGAAAAGAGATGTTGCCAGGAGGTGTTTCAGACTCACGTTAAACCCTGATTATTCCTCCTTCAAGTACCTACAAAGTCTTATCCAATTTTCCTTGTGCCATGCTAAGACCAATTTTTTTTTACTTTCTTATCTCAGCACCTGAACCTAAGAAATCTAGATGGACAATTATCAAAAATTAGTTACTGGACTGAATTCCTACTTTCTCATTATTCGGGGATGAAGATCTCGGGATAAAATTTATTTACTTACTTTATTATTTTCTATCAGTTTATAATTCACTCTATATTAGTTAATATTGTTTTAAATTTTAACGTCCTTGCTATATATTTTTCGTTTAGTATATTAATAGTTATTTCATTTTTTAAGTGTTATTGATCTTAATCTTTAAATTCTTACAATATTCTTCATTGTTTTGTAGCTTGTTGATTTAGCCCTGTAAAGTGGATTGAAACATAGCTTTCAATAAGTAGTTTAAAGTATTTGAAGTTCATTTCGACCGCCACCCCAGATCATCTCTTTACAATAAAGTGTTTGTACTGGGATGTATATACAAATTAATGCATTATCTACATCATTGCTATTTACATCAAATATGCTGAGTCGAAATTGACCTTTCTCGTTCTAGAAGGAGAAACTTGATTTTCCTTAAAACTGACCAAATTTGGCCAGCTGCGTGGTAATTCTGAATCCCAAGCATTCCACATTGTGGCACATGTATTTTGAATAGGGACTCCTTCTCCATACAATGTCAAATATTACACAATTAGCCAAAAAAATATGACTACTGCAGTAACTGCAACACTTGATTGTCTAGATTAATGTCTATAATGAAAGCATGAGTCCGTGAATCCCATATTGATCAGGATTTAAAATAACTAAAAAATACTAACACACAATACACAGGACTCATCCTAGATACATAAGAGTCAATGCAAAGAGTCTCTGTGCTAGCCTTAATAACAAAAAAGGATAGACACATTTTGAAAAATTTTGACTACAAATACAATATGTAAATTTGTAAATCACATAATTGGTTAATATATAGTTTATTCTTCTTTGTTTTAAAATTGAAATAAATATATACTACCTTATCATAAAAGAATACTTACCAACCAGGGAAAATGCATAGCATGAGAATTAACACCTTCAGGAGCTGATGGTAACCACTGGGCCTCATGGCGATGTGCCATATTACAGCATACAGGACACCGAAAATTAGATCCAGATTGATTGCTTACTGCATCCTTCGATGTTGCAGATGAACTCTATAAAATTGGGAATAAATAAAACATATTTCATACATTTGTCCATATACTTATGCTATGTGTGTATGTCTGTCCGTGTGCATTATAAAATTATTAAAGTAACATATTACTTGTATATATGAAAGTTTGCTACAGTGTACTACAATACTGTTGCAACCTTCAGTGTATTATCTAATGATATATGATTGAAGTAGTAATTAATAATTTGTACTAGCGAAAATACGTATAATTTAATTATTTATACAAAAGAATAAAATCTCGATAAAACAATCTTACAAATTAAATTACAAGTTTTCAACTGGCAAGACATGGATGTACTTTATGTTCAAGTTGTTAAGAAAGCCGAGAAATAATTTGTGAACCAATGCATTTTCATTAATAAGAATACTTGGCATTTGGTACCAGAGGAATTTAAAGATTTAAGTATCCACATTAATTACATTGTCAAATAAAAATACAATAAAAAAGGCTATGTCTGCTATTAAGACACAAGAAGGTTATAAAACAGTTGCTGAATAAATAGACTTGGAAGGTAGGATTAGACAATTATAAAACCAATTATATCTAAAACAAGATGAAATCAAACTATACCAAATCGAAAAGAAATTTGTGTTAGAAAAATTTGAAAAAACCAATCAGATCCTGAATAATGATTAAGTAGATTTGAAGAAGAGTGTAGTCGCTCCCAGATAAATTTCAGCAGTAGTAAAATTCAAGCTTTGCATTTCTTTGTCTCCGGCCCAGCAATAGATTTGTTTGAAATAAATCTGGAGAAAGTAGGTATAAATGGTCACTGGAAAAGTTGGAAAACAGAAGGATTAAGGCCAGATCAAATGAAATCCTTGGGGACCTAATTCTTTATTTGTCACAATTCAATTTCACTATAATTTATAAAAAAAGGCAAAGAAAATATCCTAGCCACCTTACTCTCAAAAAATCTGATTTTAGAATATTTTGACAGTGAAGATCAAAATTGAGAACTTAATCGATTTACCTCTGATTTTAAAAGACCAAGCTGAATGTCTCCCATCTTTAAAAATAGCGAAACGGACTAACTATGATCAGGGAATGATACTAAAAAAATAAAAATACAAACTGAGAATATTTGTTTCTTCAAAATTAGGAAACAAAATCATTCAGCTTATTCATGAGCATTATGGTCACATTGGTCCAGCACAGATGATCGCCACAATCAGGCAGCATTATTACTTCGAGGGTCTCGACAAAGCTGTTCATAACTTCTGTAAAAGTTGCCAGATTTGTGTTAGAAACAAGGTCCGTCGCAGTCGAGCTATATCGGCCTTCTCTAACAATTGAGTTCTGCCACCGAGTCATTCCAAATAATGTCACTTGACAGTGCTAGTGGTTTTTTAGTGAATCGGTCACCAAAGAAATATATACACATTTTGGTAGATCATTTCACGAGATATGCCGGGATCTCGACTAGTAAGAGTCAGATTGCTCAAGACTTTATAAATTTAATTCAGCCAATCGCTAAAAAGCATAATATTTCCATCATATTAGCCAACCTATATGCTGGCATAAATTCAACTTACTTCCAAAACTACTTGGTGAAAAATGGTATACAAATTGTATTTATCTGCATCAACCAGCCAGAATCTAATGGGCTTAACGATCGCCTTGAAGAAAATCGTAAAATAGCTCTTCAGAATTCAAGAAGAAGCTTTCAAATAAATAAGAAGCATGTAGATAGAAATTGACGCCATCATAATTTTAACGTTGGAGATTTGGTGTATATCTATCGCTACTCTTAAACAGTTTCTGAGATTCCATGATTCTATCACTTTCAAAACTAGTCAGCTTCTAGTTTCCTCTCTTATTTTTACCATCTTCGATTATGGCTACCTTATATACGGTGGAGTCCCACGTCTCCACCGTATGCTCGTATGCCGAGTGCCTATATCCAGTTTCTCAACAGCAATATTTCCTAGGTGTATTCCTTTTCCTAATCTTTACAACCAGAAAACCTTCATACCTTCCTGACTCTGTCCATTCTTTCAACACGAGATCCCAGCCCATAAATCTGTATATTCCTTCTCATAAGACAAGTTTATTTTGAAAAACCTTTATAATGCGTGCCAAGAGGCAAGAACATTTGTCTCGACCACGTCTGGCCCGGTGAGGCGCCGGTTATACACCACCATATACAAAACCTCATCATTGACTTCATTTAAAAACCAATCGTTTCTCCATCTCCTCAGACATAAGACTTCCAAATATTTATAAGAATTAAATATGTTAGTTCAAAAATATTATTTATATTGCTTACCGAGCAAATATGTAAACACACAAATATCAATTCATATATAATTTCATCGTATTATATGTATATTTATAATAGAATTTTATTTTAATTTTTATGTTACACAACTTTGTAACCTAATTATTATTTTTCAACCATTATGTGCCTGACAAATCTATATTCATTGCACATATTTGTTATTCTTAGGGAGACTAAAAGTCTCAGAATAAAATTTACTTTTTTTCCTTCTTATATCGAAAATGGTAACAAAATTAATCGCAACAACCTCGACCCTATATGAATTGGACCATTTTCAATAGTCCACAGGATTTCAACGATGTTTTATGAAGTGGCAAGTGGAAAGACAAAGAACTCTAACTTCTTTCATTCCAATAAACTCCTTCCTCATTCTCCGTACGAATCATCTTCAGAGGGAGGGAGGGAGGAGATAAGTTTGCTACAGTGTACTACAACACTGTTGCAACCTTCATTGCGTTATTTAATGACATATGATTGAAATACTGATTATTAATTTGTACTGGTGAAAATAAGAGTAATTTAAGTTTTATACAAAATAATAAAATCTCGTTAAAAAAATCTTACATAAATTTAAATGACATTTTAAACTTCAAAATAAATGTGAAAAAGTTTTAATTAATAATATGATAAAAAAAAAAATTAAATGTAAATGCATGAATGTTATATTCAACATTAAATATATTAATTTTTAATTATCTGATTTAAATTTTTATATTAATAATGAATATAACAATTCAATGCTAACAATTAGTTTAAACCTAGATATTCATAGTTCAGAATTAGTGCAGGTTAGAAATATTGTATTTCTAACAGTGATGGGCATATTTATATTCAGAAATATAAATGCAAATACCATTTATATTTATGGTACTAATGAATATAAATATGAATATATTTATATCCATAAAAAGAAATATGAATACAGAAGATACGTATTCATGGCTGTAAATATAAATACGGCTGTATTCACGATTAGAAAAGTGAATACGGCTGTATTTACACCTGTAAAAGTGAATACGGCAGTATTCATGTTTACTAAAATGAATACACTCAAAGTTACAGAAGTGAATGGAAATATTTTCACACAACCTAATTAATGAATACTCTTATTAATTAAAAAATGTATTTATTAAATTATTAATTAAAAAAAAATATATTTACTATATGTATCATTTTATTTTTATATGTAGTATTATATTCTTCCTTTTACAATATGTTATATAAATTATGTTAAAATGTATTATGTTATGTTAATTATCACTTGTAATGTTTGTATGTAATATAAATTCCCGAGCCTTTATATTTACACGAGTAAAAGTGAATACGGCAGTATTGACATTTATTAAAATGAATTATGAATATGAATATGAATGAATTCTTAAATTTACAGAAGTGAATGCAAATATTTTCACACAATCTTATTAATGAATATTCTTATTAAATTAAAAAAATATATTTTTTAAATTATTTATTTTAATATTTTATTTTATTATTTTACTATATATACCTCCAGAAATGACGTAGGCGAAACCCCTATAGAGCATGACAATTTAATGTTCACTGAACAAATTATTTGCGACATTAATGATGAATATATAATGGAGGACTCATCAAGAAAATGACCCTTAGCATGGTCGAAACGTCGAATTTAATAGCATATCAATAAAATGTTGGTGATAATTGGCCTAACTTATGTAAAAAATAAAACCTCAAGACACCAAAATTAGGATAAATGAACAGAAGAACTATATATACCATTTTATTTTTATATGTAGTAATATATACTTCAGGCATCGGGATCCTCCCTTCCCCCAATAAAAATTCTGAGGAGGTGAGAATAATGGAATTTCTTAAAGAGCCGGTACTGTCGTGAAAAAACTTGAAAATCAAAGTCCCTATCATCCAGATTACAAGAGCCTGCTAAACAAACCGATTCAGTTTCGCTAAAAACTTCATACATTGTTCTATATGCAAACCTTAACACAGTAACAAATATATTTACACATTACACACTGAACAGCAGGTCCAGAAAGGTCACTATTCAAATTTGACAGCAGTTGCCCCTTTCCTTGCTTCAACCTAAGTCTGTCGTGTATTCCCCGTTGGAATTTCCAGGGTATCGTTCCGAGTATATCAACTCTTCTTAAAAATAGAAGGCTGAGGCATCCCCTGGGACCCTAAAGATGAATCATACAAAGCAATTTATTACCCGTTTTATTTTGAGATCCCCAGAGATATCATCATATATCCGAAAGCTTCTGGTTACTTCCTTAACCTCTACATAAACAGCAAAAGCTTTTGAAACTATTAATTTCATAATAAATTTCATTGTTATTAAGTTATCAAAAGTTTTTTTCTGTAGCTCAGAGATTGCACTTGACATTTTTTTGGTTGGATCCGCTCAAATTCTAGGTCATTTTATATCTTCTAGTCCTTGTTTTTTTTACCTCTTACCCACCATTTCTGGTATACTGTGGGGGGGGGGGGGGAGGGGTTATTCTAGAGGTACAACCAAACCTATTCTAACCAGTGTGGGAAGGTCCAGTTCAAATCCCTGGGTCCATCATGAGAATGCTACAATGGACAATGTTCCAAACACTCTCGGCCATCATGACCTCGATATATTCTAGTATATATATATATCGATATATTAGGCACAACAATGAACCGCGTCATCACAAAGATAGGTTGTCGAGAAAATGCTTCTCAATCTAAGACCACTCATCTACATCCACTCTTAAGTTCACAACCTACCATGAAGCAGGTTATATGTACAGCAAATAAGTAAAAATATTATATCTTATCTTATCATTTTTTTATTTATAATATTTAACTTTTTATTTATTTTTTTTTTTTTGCCTTGAACACCTAATCATTCCTGACGAAGGAATAGAGTAGTGGCGACTTCATTGCATAGTCTTCTGACTAAAATCAACCACGGTTAAAGAAACTCAGTGCCGGTGGTTATTCCACCCTTTTTCCTGAGAGGTCATAAATATTCGTGTATAGGATATCCTGTATTTGAGGATACAGGTCCTTTCCTAATGGGCTGGTCACCCAGAGAAGAGTACAGGTCATTCAAAGTATATCAGATGGCCTCGGATTTAATGAGTATAAACGGTTACTATGTGGTGTTTCAAAGGATATTAAATTTGGAATGTCGAGACTTGTAAAGAGGTTGAACTGGTAAAGGAGATGGAGACGTTCATGGTAAATATGGCATCATCATTAAGGAAAGCATATTTGCTAAAGTAGAAGATTAGAAGCCCATCTCTTCAAGAATTATAACATAACATATAAATTTTTCAATAGTAAAGAGCATGTCTCATGTGTACCCTGCGTATTATTATATTTTAGTTCTGCATACTTTTTTTTTTTTCTTGTGTTCTTGCTAATTAGCTGTTCAATATAACCTTATTTTTTTCGGTATGTATTTGGATGGCTTTTTTTTTTTTTTTTTTTTTTTTCCTTTTTAGTTTATCGTTCTGCAAATATGTGATCTTGTTTTTTCAGTCCTGATGGTGCCTAAATTAGTGAAACGTTGGCAGGTTAACTATTCACCTGTATGTTTGTGAGTCATGGCTTTATAATTTGGATTTATCCATTTATAACCTTATCACTATACTACATGCTTATTTTAGTAATACACAAATAATGACAAAAGAAATAATAACATTTTATAAAACTTACTGGTTTCACAGTTGGTTTAGACATTTCATAAGGACGAAACCGTATATCAGGAGATTTTGAAGCAGGGGAAGATTTTCTTTCTTGCTGAGGTTTCTGTGACTTATTGTAGCAGGTGGCACATACCTACAAAAATAATTAACATTCATGATAATAAACTTTATTGGAGTTTTAAAAAAAAGTAAGAATTAACATATTATTTTAGACTATTTATCATAATTATTTTTTAATTTTATTAAGTTAATAAATATTAAGAAATAATAAGAATATATATATGAAATGTGGGACTGAGTAAATACACTTTGAATGAATTAACTCAACTGGATTGTTGTTCTTCAATTGTGAGGCATACAAAAAAACTAAATAAAAGGAATATCTACTCCTGTATAACAAAATAATTTATTTCAACAACTGTAATAAATGAATCTATCAAAGTCTTATAACTGTAGGCTTGATCTTCTTAATCTTCAAGGGAGTGGGCTTCTCTTCCGCCGTCACGTACTTCTGTTTTCCCGTCCTTGCCTCAGGTGAATTCTTCGTCCTTCCTTTATCATTCCAGCGTCCCTCTCCAACTGCTGCCACCTGCTGAACAGTTTTCCAGCCTTCTTCCTTTCTTTGCTCTTCTGTACCTTATATCATCAATTGTTTATTCATTTGGTACTTTTTACTAAACAACTTGTCCACTGCACAATTGAGTCCAATTCATATTGCAACCCTACATTCCTATAAACTCCTTCTCATTCCCTCACTCAATGTCACTTAAAGGAGTAAATAGAAACCATCTACTACACTACTATTGTATTGAACTATCAGCTGAAATAAATAATAATAAAGAAAACATTTACAAATAATGGTCCTTAATTACTTCAGCCAATAATAGAAACATGATATTACCTGGGCAGCACCCTGTTGGTAGAAACCTCCTGACTCAGTACCACAAACAGAACAAGTAGACGCTTCATTGATATGTTGTGCCGGTTGAACTCTTTTTCTAAGAACATAGTTTCTATCGGAGTGAGCGATTCCTTGGGCCTGATATGCCTACAGAGCAAAATATAAAGAACAGAATTATAGTTAAGTCCGAAAGAATTTATTTTTGTTTAATATCTTTATTATTTATAATTAAAATAATAACAAACACAAAATAAAAACAATGCAACTTTTTTTAGTTTGTGAAACATTTATTAGTGTATAAATCAGAGAAAAAAAAAAATAGTATCAAATATTCAAACTGTGGCATGCAAGTTTTTTTACCGAGGTACTTTAATGTGAACTTAAATTGAAATAGAAAGTACAATAATACGAGATTTGGGATTAATGGGCAATAGTACAATGATCCAGCACAAGGATATTGACAAATACACCTCAGAAAGCTCTAAAATTGTGAAAAACCAAAATTATCGAAGATTTCTATAGAAAAGAAGATGAAATGTAATAACAACTTTTCTCAATGACTATACAGAAGACTGAATTATAAAAAATACCATTCCAACTAAACTTGAGCATGTTACAAATATTAGAAAAATAATTTTAAAAAATATCAACTATTATCCTCCAATATTAAAAATCATCAATGTCTTGAACTATCACTAACCAATAGGGAGAAGATGGAGAGAGAGGAAAAGAGACACACATAAAAATCATCACTAAATCACAAGATTTCATTTAAAAGGAGGGGATTAGCTTCATATATTTCTTTATATATATTTGGAGTGGAGACATACATTACATATCATTATTATATCGGTGCAACAACCCATTGAAGGATTCCCAGGTCGCCGCCAGCAACTTCCACCAATTGTCACAGCTTTGTGCAGTCGCCATCCAGTTGTGCACTCCAAGGATATTCCGAGCATCAGCTGCAACTTTGTCTACCCATCTATACTTCACTCTTTCACGTCTTCTCGTTCCATAAAGAGGCTCCATCCAAAGCTTTTTGGGCAACTCTTCTTCGCTCTTGAGTGCGACATGTCCCACCCACCGCAACCAGCCTAGTTACCATCTGAACGACATTTGCCTCTTTAAATAGACCATAAACCTTCTGGTTTGTGCGCCTCCTCCAGGTTCCATCCATCAATACTCCTCCAAATATCCTCCGAAGAATTTTCCGCTCGAACACAAGGAGAATCTGTTCATTATGTTTGCTACTCTGCAGACCTACACCCCCAGGATGTGTACTGTTAATGACCTTGTCTGTAGAGTGTAGTGTGCTGTTTTAGTGTACTGTGTGTATATGAGTGTACTGTTCCCCCAGCCTGGAGGACCAGTGGCTGATTACAACACTAGGGCAGGCGATGGGGACGTTACATATTTATACACATTTTTACTCTATTGTTCACTTACACACATCCTTTGCCAAAAGTATAAGGCACCAGTCAAAATTATAAATTTCATTTTAATAAAAAATTCTATATTCACTGCTGTTTCCAAAGCTTTTGTTGACAAAAATGGATCCCTTATATTATGCATTATACTTACCCCTGCCTCCTATTTAATACTTGAGATACTAATATTGACAAAATGATGGAATGTAAAAAAAAAGTTCTCAGTACAGTGCTAGCTCTCTTTATATTCAGGGCTATAAAGAGAACTAACAGTGTACTGAGAACTTTTTCTAACATTCCATCTTTTTTTCAATATTAGTAGTCAGGGCCAAAAAATGGACCTCATCGCAGGCAAAGGTTTGAATATAAATTATGAAAGTGCATAACATTTTAACTAAAATGAACTTTGTCTGCCATTTCAAAGTCATCGCTTTCAGAAATGGTGGTCGTGACAAGAGGTCCAAATTTGCCAAAAATAGCTCTCATCGCAGGCTAGATGAAACTTCAATAGATGAATCTTTCTACCAAAAGATCTGTGGTCTGCTATCATATGGCAGACTTAATTTATTAAAAAATTGCAACTTTGGAGTAACAAATTTATCAACTTTAGGAGCCTTGGAATTATAACTGCAATGAATGTGTGTGATTAACGGCCTCTTTTAGACCGCGACGATCTACCGGCAGACTCTAATTAAAAAATTGCAATTTTAAGTGTCAAAATTCAACGTTTTTAGGGAGCTTAAAATTTTAAAAATAAGAAAGTATTTAGTTAATGATAAAGAAATAACATTGTCTGCCTATGCTAAGCCGCGGAAATCCACAGGCAGACACAAATTAAAAAATTGCAATTTCTAGTGTAAAAATTCACCAATTTCAAGAGGCTTGAATTTTTAAAACAAGAAAGTATTTGGTCTATAATAAGAAAACAACGTTGTCTACCAATGACCAATGTTAGGCCGCAGAAATTCACTGGCAGACTCAAATTAAAAAATTGCAATTTTAGAAGTAAAAATTCACCAATTCCAGGTAGCTTGAAATTTTGCTATATGATACTTCAATATTTTTGTTAATTAAAAATGCAGTCTGCCATTGATAGGCCGTTGCTTTGTACTGGCAGAGTGAGATAAAATCTGCAATGAACGTGAGGATACCGTCTCCTAGCAGGCCAAGAGCCTGGTGGAACTCCAAAATGGCGGCCTTCCTAAAATCATGGGCAGTCACTAAAAATCCTAAAATATATTATTTGAAGATGTTTATTTGATTTCTTTTATTAGATTGGATTTTTTTATTACACCTGATAAAACTTTGTCTGCCCGCCCATCCTAGGTGGTTGGATTCATGGGGCAAGCAAGTTCCAAAAACACAATTTAAAACTAAAAATCTTTACTTCATAGAAGACGTTTTTCTCTACCTAATAGAAATTTCGAAACTAAAAACATTTACTTCTTTGAAGACATTTTTCTATATCTAACGCAACTTTCGAGTCCTTATCTGAAATTACACTAATTGTTCATTATTTGTTAAGTTCTTCTTTGCATCTGACCATCTGCTGAAAAAGGAACTGACTTTCACAGGATCTCGGCTTTCCCCAGTTTCTAGAGCATCCTCCTACGGTTTTTTACCCATCCCATGTTTTATCAAGTTTATTTCTTTTACTATGATTTCATTGTTGCTTTTGTAATTATACTCCTTGGAAACTACAGATATAAGAACATAGTTAACAATTTCATTGACCATATTTTTGTTATCTCACAGAGTTTCCTAGATAAATATTCTCGTAATTCGCTAATTTAGAAAATTACAAGTTTTGCCGCCCTTTTTTGTCTTTATTTGAATAAAAATTAGCTAACTCTTAAACTTTTCGTTGTACGTAATAGACACAGGATTGAATATTAAAGTTCTTCAAAAATATATACACTTTACTATTCTATCTTCAACCCTTCAAAAGTTGGAGTAACTATATATAGCTTAATATGTAATTTGCAATTGCATATTTTATTTGCGTTATTTATTTCAACTGCTGATCAAATATTTATACAAATTAGTACGCTGTGATGCAATTAGTCAAATTTTATTATGCACAGATAGATGGATAGATGCATATAATTGCATATTTTGATTAATTGAATGAAATAATCAAAATATGCAATTATATGCATCTATCTGTGCATAATAAAATTTGAGTAATTGCATCACAGTGTACTAATTTGTATATTTGATCAGCAGTTAAAAAAAAAATAATGCAAATAAAATATGCAATTGTAATTGCATATTTTGATTAATTGAATGAAATAATTAAAATATATACATGTAAATGAATATTTATTTATTTATATGTACAAATCAAAATGAAATATTGAAGATGCAATTCAAGATTATAATCGTAGGTTTATTTTCAATGAACAAAATCTACCACATTTGTAGACTGTATACCTACCTTCCACTATACCCTTAAATATTTAATTCTCTTTATAGATGTTCTCCAATTCCTGGAAATCCATATCTCCTTGTCCCACATAAACATCATAATAAGTTTCTATTTTAGTTTGTTGCCTACATTCTTAGGAAGAGATAATATTTCTGTTTATTTAAAATGGGAAAAGTATCTTCATTTTCATCAATGTTGAAATCTTGGATTAACCTTAAAACAATAGACATGAAATAGTTTTAACAATCGGTGGGAAACCAGTGGTACCAGTAAAGTGGGTGAAACTTTAAATGAAAACAATTATTTAAAGAAGTTTCTATAAATAATTCAGGGCAATTACGAGATTTGCATTGTCTGTCATGGACAGTTGTCGCACTAATTGTAAGTGGATACTATTGGGATATCACAAAGGGAAAATTCATCAAATTATTCAATAATTTACTTTTCTAAAAGGTTACATGATGATTTTTCAGAATAAACAGACGATAGATACCTAATTATTTAAATATAATAACAGATTTAGAGTTTTATATATAAATATATATATATATATAGTTATTATATATACAACTACAGTAAATATATTTAAGGTTAAAAACATATCCATGAAATATTTTTATATTTCACTTCTTCTTTCACACAAGTATAATGAAATAGGACCTTAAACAATCTCATTGCCTTGATTAGGTAGATTTTAAATACTTTTTTTTTAAGTTTTCATTTAGTAACAAAATTTCATTTAATTTCCACGAAAACATGTGCTTTATGTTAAACAATGTTAGTTTTTAGAAATTATTATTTATATTTTTTTTGCCACTCCTTGTTACCTTCTACGACTTTCTATATTAGATATTGCATTTTTTTTTAATTCTCCGAGTTCTAATGATATATTATACGTATACCTTATGACTATTATTTCCAGATATTCATTTTCCACCTGGATAAGCATTTATCTTTTTTTCCCCTTTATTCAATTAATAAATTTTTTTTAAGTTATATTTAGCCTTTTTTCAGAACTCTTAATAATGAGATAATTAATTATTTAATATAAACTAAATTAAAGGTACTTTAGAGGAAGACATGTTGAATGAATCAAATTCTTTATAAGTTATATTTAGCATTTTTTTATAACTCCTAACAATGAGAAATAGTTAGTTATTTATAATAAACCAAATTAAAGATACTTTAGAGGAAGAAAAGATAATGCTGGGATTTCACAAAGGGAAAATTCATTAAATTATTCACTAGTGTATTTTAAAAAAAAGTTACACGACGATTTTTCAGAATGA